ATTAAAAAAAAAAGTCTGACCATTTCACCCCTCCCTTTACTCAACAAACTCTAGAGGCTCCTATTACCAATAGGATCAAACATAAAATCTTCTATTTGACTTTTAAAGCCCTTTATAATCTGACCCATCCCTACCTTTGCAGTTATCTTAGGTTTTACTCTCCTACACATACTTTACAATCTAATGACACTGGCCTCCTTGTTATTCCCACACAAGACACTTATCCCCACTCCATGAATTTTTACTGGCTGTACCCCTTGCTTGGAATTTTCTCCCTCCCAGCCTCCCCCTCCTGCCTTCCCTGACTTACTTTAAGATTCAGCTCAAGTTCCACCCTCTTCAGGAGACTTCCTGGTCTCCCTAGCTGCTAGCACTTATCCCTCTGAGATCAACCCCCATTAGATTGTATATATCTTGCATTTACTTAGTTATTTACATGTCTTCCCCTTTAGACTGTGAGCTCTTTGAGAGCAGGGCATATTTTTGCCTTCCTTTGTATTTGCAGCACTTAGTGTGTTGCTTGATACATAGTATGTACTTAACAGATGCTTGTTGACTGACTAACTGTAGAGGTTAAAGGACTTGCTGAAAGGCATACAGGTAGTAAGAGAGGAAGGATTCGAACCCAGGTCCTTTGAATCTTTGAGTCAATGCTCTTTCCACTGTCTTTTGGTACTAGAGACCTTCACCAAAGGTCAGAATCATTGAGAGGATGTAAATGTGACTCTTCATATGCTCTTCCTCCTTATTGTGAAATAAGCAGCTCAGGTCTTCCTGAGAAAGTGGTATTTCCTTTACCAGTCATTTCTGGACCAGTCATTTGGTACTACATGAGTTCAGAATTTAATCAAAATTCATTTTAAAAGTCACACGTAATTTCCACATAACTTGAGATCACATTAGAATTAGGACTGGAAAGGACCTAGTCTAACCATGTCCAGAACCCCTACACATGCCTCCATTGTACAGACAAAGAAACTAATTCAGCGACTTGGCAAGAGTCTCACAGGTATTAAGTAACAGGGCCAACATTTCAATCCAAATCCTCTGACGCAAAGCTCATATGCTCCAAATCCAGCAAGCATTTATTAAGAGCCTTCTGTGCAATGACTATGTTAACTGCTGAGGACACAAAGGCAAAATGCAAACTAATACTCTGTCCTTTCAAGGAGTTAGGAAGATACAAGAATTAAAAAGAGGCAGCTTGGATGGCTCTGTGTTCAGAGTGGTGAACTTGGAATCTGGGAGATCTGAATTCCAGTCCTGCCTCAGATATTTATCTATGTGATCATGGACAAGTCCTGTAACCTGCCTCAGTTTCCTTATCTGTAAAGTGGGAATGATAATAGCACCTACCTCACCAGCTTCTTGGGAGGTTCAAATGACATTTTACCTAAATTTCTTCATAAACCTTAAAGTTCTACATAAATGCTAGCTATTATTATTAAACAAATATGGAGATATAATGGAGGCAGGAGAAAGCGCCAAGAAGGGTGAGGTGAAGTACAGTTTGGGGATTCAGAGCCCTTTCTCCTAAACTACTCTGCTCTGAACTTGGAGACTCCAGATTTGCACGCAAGGCTGATTTGGGGCTTTTTGCTTATTTCTGCAGATTTCTTTCTCACCTCACTGCCTCCTGCCTTTTCAAGCTGTATGTAACTATATGTAAATGTATGTAAAGTATCTGCTCCCCTAAAAGAATGTAGGTACCAGAGACCAAAGATCATGTGTAGCCTGATAACCATTCTTCTAAACATAGATTGAAATCATGAACTTTTAAGTAAAGCTGGAAAGAACCAGTAGCCAGAATGACTAGAAACTTGAAATGATCAAAAATTTTTATCCAAAGATTGAACTGGAAATGACTTCTCAAGAGGATTATGATAAGAATCATGAGATTAGTTCCCAGCCTGGTGGGGTCTGATATAATACACTGTTTTCTTCACCACTGACTAATGAGGAATTGAAATATTTTACCCAGTGATCTTGACCTTCAGATTTAGATAGATGTGGAAATGCCCCAAAATATTATAGGTCATAAACTCTGCAGCTCACTGGAAAAAAATGAGGGAATTAATACATTTACCTAATCCTGGTTGCATGATATTCTCAGATTTAATTATTTTTCTTCAGTCATTAGATGAGGCCCTGATGTGTTGGACAGACAGAAAATATATAACTGTATGTAATAAATAAACATAAAAACAGTACTGACTTATCATTGATATTCCCAGCCCTACCCTGACAAATCCTCCAAGCTTATAGCTTTGGAGTGATTTTTAAGATCTCTAAAATTCTATGATCCTCTCCAGTTCTATGGCTCTTACTTTGAATTGCCTCAGGGCTTACGAATAATACCTGGAGCTCACTCTTATGCATGGCTCTCACAAATTAGGCCAGCTTGACACCATTCTCTGGATGGTTATATGTACATATCTCTTCTAGTAGCTGCCTGCCCCACAAACCATCTCACTGTATCACCCCTCTGCTCAAAAAACTGCAGTGGCTCCAAATTGCCTATGAAATAAAATACAAATTCCTTAAAGTATAATTTAAAGCCCTCCACAATCAGCTCAAACCTACCTTTCCACTTTTATTTTATGGACTCTCTTCCATGCAGCCTATGTTTAACTAACATTCAACAACTTATAAGCCCCTCATTGTGCCACGCATTGTGCTAGGCACTGGAGATACAATGAAAGACATGACACAAGTCCTCCCTTTGGAACCATTTGGGCTCTTCTTCTCCTGTAGCAGTCCTTCTTTAAAGAACAAATATTCTCTGGGAATAATCACTCTTTTGTTATCAGTTAACGACAACCTGCCAAGATGACGGCTGAACTGGATGAGAGAGGTGGGAAATATTGATTTCACAGTTTTGCCTGGGCACAGGACTGGGAAAGGGTGGGAAAACAGGGTATGGGACAGAGCCTTTCTAAGGCTCTTTTTCCACTGACTGCCCTACATACTCAGAGCATTCAGTGCTTATCCAGTTCCTCATTCTTCATCTCAACAGCGATGCACCTAACGTCGTCAGGAAGTTGAATTACTCATTCTGTTCCTAACATATTCTAGGAAAGGCAATACCACAATCCCCTTTCAGGACACATTCTAGTTTCTTAAGAACATTTCCATTTGGAAAGTTTTTCCTTGTGTCTAACCTCATTCCTTTGAGTATTGCCATTTAGGCCCATTCTGTCTTGTACTTATGTAGATAGATATGAAGTCAATCAGCTGTTCAGTCAACAAGTATCTATTAAATGCTTACTATGTGCCAGACACTGTGCTAAGCACTGGAGATACAAAATAAAGGCAAAACCCATCCCTGCCCTCAAGGAGCTTACATTCAAATAGGTGAATCAGCATATAGAATAACTAGGTAGATATAATAGAGTAGATGGAAGGTAATCTGAGAGGGGAAGGCACTGGTAACTGGGAAGATTGAGAAAGTTCTCTTGCTGAAGGTGGAATTTGAGCTGAATCTAAAAGGAAACCAGGAAAGCTAAGAGACATAAATGAGGGGTAGCAGAGCTTTTTAGGCATGGAGGATAGTCAGTGAAAAGACAGGGAGAGTGGAATGGACTGCTGTGTATGAGGAACAACAAATAGACAAGTATAGTGAAGTCTGAGATTTTTATGTAGAGCTTTAAATGACAAATAGGAGACTTTGTAGTTGATTCTGGAAATAATACAGAACCACAGGAGTTTATTAAGTAGAGGGGGGTTAATATGATCAGACTTTCTCTTTAGAAAAATCACTTTGGCAGCTAAGTGGAGAGTTGATAGGAGTGGTGAGAAATTTGAAGTAGGGAAATGTATTGCAATGGGTGTTCTACCAAAGCATTATTCTGGATCTTCTTTTCTTTTTCCTCTATCCTACCTCAGAATGGAGAAGTAGCAAGGGAGAATGAAGAGAGATCAGACATGTAGGAGGAGAATGAGGAAAGAACAGTGTCATGGAAACCTGGAAAAAAGAGAGAGATTCCAGGAGGGGGTGATCAGCAGTGTGAAATGTTGCAGAAAGATCAAGAAGCATGAGACTGAAGAAGATTTGACAATTATGAGATCACTGGCTACTTAGGAGAGTCTAAATTTTGGTACCATTTTTATTTATCATCTTTCATTTTTTCCATTAAAAGGAAAACAAAACTTCTGAGAGCAGCTATTTTCTAGAATCACAGAATGTCAGAGTTGAAGGGAACCTTAGAGATTATTTTCCCAGTGAAGAAACTGAGTTTTAGAGATCTGAGGTGACTTACCCAAGGCCACAAAGCAAATTAGAAATTAAATTAAACTCCAAAATGCTAGACTAGTTGTTAACAAAAATCAGGGAGAAAGGGCAGATGAGCTGTAGATGGATTTAGAAAGGGAGCAGCAATGGCCTCAAGGACCCCAAATTCTCTCACACTATGAGGCTACCTTCAGGGAGAGAATAAAAGCAGTGAAAGCCCAAGTTCTTGGCTATCCCTCCTAAACTGGTCCTTACAAAATTACTCTGGACCTGACTCTGTTGATAGGAGGGAAAATGAGAATCAGATGATACTTCATTGTGGCAGAACAGTTTTGCTTTAAGGAAGTCTGATTAGTATGGCTGCCTGGATGACTTTCTTTGGTCTCTGTGTTGTATATCTATCTGGAAAAGTTAAATGTATTGGGCCATATCATGAGCAGTTTTTTCATCAAAGCAGAAAACCACACAGTTGTGTAATAGTGGCTCTGTTTCAGAAAGCTGGCAATAGCCGTGTCCTTGACAACACATTCTGACTTCTTCTGTTCTCTCAGGTGTGTCTTTGCCACAGATCACAGAACCTTTGAAGTCAGAAATCAAAGCACCCCTAACATTAGTGTGCTTTCCACTACACCATGCTGCCCCCAAATAATAAAATGGATGGAGTTAATTTTTTTTTTTGCCAAAGTTTAGGGTTTTCATTCAAATAAATGAATAAATAAACTTGATGATCTTTTTAAAAAATTTTTTATCTTTATTTTTTATTTTTCAGGTCTGCACCCGCACCCCAAGAGCTGGAAATTTTCTGATTTGACAGACTCAAGAGACATGAATTAAGGACCAAGGAATAACTCAGTTTGCTACACCTGCAGCTTGCACTTTTCAAAAAAAATTTTGAACAACACAGCACTTTAGATTTAAACCCACAAAAAGTTAGCTGAGCCCTGGATAATGGCACGGGCATAGCACTAAACCTCTCCAAATTCTTGTCATATATAGCCTGGTCATGATGTTTCTTAAGTTTACTGATACCAACTGTCACAAGGTTGCTCAATACTGCTGGACAGTCAATAGCAATGGTATCCTGGGTATTGCCCTTTTTGTTCAGTTAATGTTTGTTTGGGTTTCTGTACTTTGAATGAAAAGCCTACTTGGAGGCACTTCTTGACTACTGGTTAATTTCTCTTCTGGAAAGAGTTAGGGCCCAGTGGCCCCTGGTCCCAGTCTGAGGTTCTTTTCCATCACTACTGGATTGAAAGAAGAGAACCATTTCCCCCAAAAGTATTGAAAAGGACAGATTTCAAGAACAGAGAAGAGTTGGCATTTGTTCTTGTATGATTGACAGAAAGCCAAAGAGACTTCCTCTGCTGGGGAAAGGGTAATATTTGATCTCTCCCCCATAATCTAAGAATTACTTGAATTGTCTAATTCGGGCTAGGGCAGGGAACCAACAAGCACGAGGATACAATGTACATCTAGTAACTACAGACCTTCTGGGAGCCCTCTAAAGGTATTTGTCTAAAGAGAAAGTATAGAAATATGGAATAGTCCTATAAACTATATAATAAAATAGACTTAAATTCAAAAATATCTATAGCAACTTAGGTCTATCATTATTCAGTGTTGAAATTATGTACTTATGATTGTAATTTCTCCAAGGACAATTCTCATTTTCCACACAATGCTGAATACTGACTGAAAATATGGAAGTGTTAATGTGGCAGCCATGTCTAATTTGCCCTCAGGGGAGGGTTGAGTGAAAAGATGAATTCTATTGCAGTCACTTTGAGTTTGAGATGTCTATGCTGTAACTCATTCAAGTTATAATATAACTTGCTATAACGTTATAGCAGGCAACTGGTAACTTCTGGCCTGGAATTCAAGAGAGAGACTAAGACAGGATATGTAGATCTGGAAATCATCTCCATACAGTTGATAATTGAACCCACGGGTGTTTATGACGTCACCAAGTGAGAGAGAAGAGAACAGGGGCCTGAAGTAGAGTCTCAATGCATGTCTATATGGATGAGTGGTGGATTTGGATGATGACCCAATACAGAAGATTGAAAAGACAAGTCAGACAAGTCAGAACAGAATCAGGAGAGAGCAGTGTCACGAAAGCCCAGAGAGAAGAAAGCATCCAGCCAGGAAGACTAGGTAGTCAGCAATATCAGATGGGGAAGAGAGGTCAAGAAGGATGAGGACTGAGAAAAGAACACTGGATTTGGCAGTTTAAAAAAAAACCACTGATAACTTTGGACAAAGTTTTAATAAGATTGAAGGCCAGATTGCAAAAAAGTAGAGGAAATGGAAGTAATGATTATTAGATAGAGATTTCTAGGAGTTTGACTAAGAAAAGGAGGAAAGATATAAGACGATATCTTGAAGGGATGATAGGGTCTAGTAAAAGTTATTTGTTTGTTGTTTGTAGTTGTTTTGAGACTGGTGATGCACAGTCTGGAGACATGGTTAGTTTGGGGGTCATATTTGTAGGCAGTGAGGAAGAAACCAATTAAGAAGGAGAAATTGAAGATTACTGAGAGAGAGGATGATTGTGGGGACAATCTGCTGCAGAAGACAGAAAAGGATGGGATCAAGGGAACATTTAGAGGAGTCAGTCTTAGTGAGGAGAAGAGTCACTTTGGCATCAAAGGCTAGATTAAAGGAGCAGAAAATGGAGAATTGTCACAGGGTTGTGAGATATAGAGAACAGGAGAACAGGGACCTCACTGTAAGGGTGGTTGGAGAGGCCGACTTTCAGGGAATTTCCACAAGCCCACCCGGGACAACAAAGCTACACAAGCATTTATCGCCATTTTACAAATGAGCAAACTGAAACATAAAGTGTTTAAATGACTTGTCCTCTGTTGCATAGCTAGTAAGTATTAAAAGACTATATATGAACCTGAGTCCTCCATTGGTAAAAGCCATATATATTTCTATATACATATACATGCGTGTGTGCGTGTACCTCTATTATATATATATGTGTGTGTATCTGTGTTTACCAAGAAACAATAAAACAAAGTCAAAAGAATGAAAAAAAAGTAGAAGACAGTGTGAAGTATCTCATCAGAAAAACAAATGACCTGGAAACAGACAGAGGAGAGGTGATTTAAGAATTGCTGAACTACCTGAAAGCCATGATCTAAAAAAAGGGCTTAAACATCATATTTCAAGAAATTATCAAGGAAAACTAGTCAATATCTTGGATCTAGAAGACAAAATAGAAATTGAAAAAAATCCATCAATCACCTCCTAAAAGAGATCCCAACATGAAAACTCCTAAGATAGCTAAATTCCAGAGCTCTCAGGTTAAGGAGAAAATACCACAAGCAGCCAGAAAGAAACAATTCAAATATCATGGAGATAGAGTCAAGATCATATGGTATTTAACACCTTCCATATTAAAGGAGCAGAAGGCTTGGAACCTGATATTCTGGAAGGCAAAGATTATAGGAATATAACCAAGAATAACTTACCCAACAAAACTGAGCATAATCCTTCAGAGGAAAAAACAGATATTTAATGAAATAGAGGACTTTCAAGGATTCCTGATGAAAAGATCAGAGCTTAATAGAAAATCTGACATTCAAACACAAGACTCAAGAGAAGCATAAAAAGCTATAAGCAGGAGAGAGAAATCATAAGGGATTCAATAAACTGTTTACATTCCTATATGGGAAGATGATATACGTAATTCCTAAGAATTTTATCATTATTAGATCAATTAGAAGATTACTAAGACAGAGGGCATGGGTGTGAGTGAATTATGTTGGGATGTTCTCAAAAATAAAAGGAGTGAGAAAGAGGAATGTACTGGAAGAAGGAGGAAGGGAGGGGGAGAATGGGAGAAATCATCTCTCTTAGAAGAGGAATGCAAGGAAAAGTTTTATAGTGGAAGGGGAAATTGAAGGAGGGGCAATGCTTTAACTTTACTCTTGTCAGAATTGGTACAAAGAGGAAGAATATATATATATAAATACTCAATTGGACATAGAAATCTTATTCAACAGAGAAATGGGAAGGGAAGGAAATACAGTGAAAAAATACAGTGATAAAAAGGAGAGTGAATTAAAGGAAGCAGTGGTCAGACACTAAACAGTGTAGAGAGACAGGGTAAAAACAGGGAAGGATATACAGAAGAAAATAACATGAAGGGAAATAATACAGTTAGTAATCGTAACTATGAATATGAATGGGATGAACTCACCTTTAAAACAGAAGTGGATCGCAGAATGTATCAGGAACCAGAATCCAACAACATGTTGTTTACAAGAGACTCACTTGAAACTGAAAGACATAAACATAGAGTTAAAATAAAGGGCTAAAGTAGAATTTATTATGCTTCAGCTGAAGTAAAAAAAAGGCATGGGTAGCAATCATGATCTCAGACAAAGCAAAAGCAAAAACAGACCTAATTTTAAAAGATAATCAGGGAAATTATTTTTTACTAAAAAGGTACCATAGATGATGAGGTAATATAAAAAAATTTACAGTAAGTTTCTCTGATAAATTCTTCATTTCTCAAATATATATGGAAATGAGTCAAATTTATAAAAATAAGAGCCATTCCTCAATTGATATATGGTCAAAAGATATGAATAGGCAGTTTTCAGAAGAAGAAATCAAAGTTATCTATAGTCATATGAAAAAATGTCTAAATCATTATTAATTAGAATAATGCAAATTAAAACAACTCTGAAGTACCATTTCACACCTATCATATTGGCTAATATGACAGAAAAGGAAAATGACAAATGCTAATGTTGAAAAATAGGGACCCTAATGCTTTGTTAGTGGAGTTATGAACTGGTCCAGTCATTCTGGAGAATAATTTCAAACTATGCCCACAGGGCTATAAAACTGTGCATACTCTTTGACCCAGCAATACCAACACTAGGCCGTATTCCAAAGAGATGAAAAAAGAAAAAGGACCTATATGTACAAAAATATTTGTAGCAGCTCTTTTTGTGGTGGCATAGAATTGGAAATTGAGGAGATGCACATCAATTGGGAATTGATTGAACAAGTTATGGTATTTGATTGTGATGAGATACTGTTGTGTTATAAGAAATGATGAGGAGAAATGGGAAGTCCTACATGAACTGATATAGAGTGAAGTTAGTAGAATCAGTAGATCATTGTATATAGTAAAAGCAATATTTTAATGATGATCAGCTGTGAAATACTTAGCTACTCTGATCAATACAATGATCCAAGATAATTCCCAAAGACTCGTGATGAAAAATGCTAGCCACCTCCATGGAGAAAACTGACGAACTCTTAGTACAGACTGAAGTATAATTTTTTTTCACTTTTTTTTTGCTCTTTTTTTTGCAACATGGCCAATGGAAATAAGTTTAGTATGATTTCACATGTATACTTGATATCATATTACCTGCCTTCTCAATGGGTAGGGGAGGAAAGGAGAGAATTGAAACTCAAACATTTTTAAATATTAAAAACAAATAATTTTTTAAATTGAGTGACAGCAAGAAATGCTTTTAGTTTTGTATTTATATCCCCAGCAACCTAGCACAGTACCTGGCACGTAATAGGGCCTTAACAAATATTTGTTAAATGAATGAATAAAATCATATATGTAAAGTGCTTCGTATACCTTCATACCTGTAAATAAATGCTAGCCATTCTAAAAAGAAGAAGGAGGAGAAGGAAAAAAGAAAATAAAAACGAAAAATATTTGTTCATATCCTTTGACTACTTATATCTATTTGGGAATGTCTCTTGATCCACAAAAACCCTCCAATACATTCATATGTTCTAATTTGTTCATCTAATCATTCATTATTTTCAACTTTGTTCTAAAGATCTTCTTTCTGGGACTGCATAATTAAAGATCAGAAAACTATATCCCTCTCTACCACCACCCCCGAATATAAAGCTTTGACACCCCTGTTTGACCCCAGTTAGTTTTTTTAAATTAATTAATTAATTAATTTTTAGTTTTCAACAGTTACTTCATAAGCTTTTGAGTTTTAATTTTTTCCACTTCCTTCCCCTCCCCCCTCCCCAAGATGGCATGCGGTCTGATATAGGCTCTATACACACATTCTTATTAAATATATTTTCACATTAGTCATGCTGTAAAGAAGAATTAGAACGAATGGGAAGAACCACGAAAAAGAAAAAATGAAACAAAAAAGAGAGCAAATTGTATGCTTCGACCTGCATTCAAACTCCATAGTTCTTTCTCTGAATGTGGATAGCATTTTCTATCATGAGTCTTTTGGAGTTGTCTTAGATCCTTGCATTGCTGAGATGAGCTAAGTCTATCAAAGTTAGTTGTCTCACAATGTGGACGTTACTGTGTACAATATTCTCCTGGTTCTGCTCCCTAGTTAGTTTTTTAAAAGTGATAAAGGTTGTCTCAGTCTGCGTTTGGATTCACATTGAAAAGTATTCCCTAAAAATATATTAGAGTTGGTCTAGTCTCATGTGCTATGGTGAGAACAGATATTTCAAGAAAAATCATTAGCCCTGCTGGATCCAAATCTTCAAACACTGACATTTTTCAACTGTAACAGTTAGTTCTGAATGGGCCTTAGTTCCTTTATGCATAGAATGAGGGTATTGGACTAGGTGATCTCTAATCACTCTTTCAGGAACTGCAGTTCCTTTCAAGTCAACAAACGTTTATTACTGTCTCCTATGTGCAAGACACCCTGTTAGGCACCAGTGATGACACAAAGATGAAAAAATGACACAGTGCCTTCCATCAAGGAAATCAGTGTAAGAGGAGCAGGATATGAAATATACACAAATATATATGACACAAGATAGAATACAATAAGGCTAAAATGAACTCAAATTTCTTTCTTTAGAGAAATTTGAAGAGTAAAAGTAACCTTCATTTTAGGGGTGGGAAAAGTGGGGCAGGAGGATAGTCAGGGATGGCTTTTGTGCCTTACAAATAGGCTGAGTGCACAAGAAAAGGACTATACAAACATGGAGGAAGCAGGTTCCCACTTTCATCTGAACTAGACAAAGGATAGTTAAAAACACAGAGAGATTAGTGTAGGAAAACGTTAACCTCTACTAGGAAAAAGATAAGAATAGGAAGAGGGAAGGGAGAGTTTAAGAAATAAGGAAGGAATTAGTAACAAGCAAAACAAATTCCATTTTTGGAGGGTGAAATTGTGAAGATGGGATTAAAGAGAAAGGAAGGAGGGAAGAAAGAAAGAAAGAAAGAAAGAAAGAAAGAAAGAAAGAAAGAAAGAAAGAAAGAAAGAAAGAAAGAAAGAAAGAAAGAAAGAAAGAAAGAAAGAAAGAGAAAGAAGAAAGGAAGAAAGGAAGAAAGAGAAAGAAAGAAAGAGAAAAAATCATTCTACTCAGTTCACTGGTTGAGGCAGAGGTCATTTGAATACTCCTTGCTCCCCATTGCCAGTGCCAGGTTCTCCCCCTACCTCCGTCACTCAGTAACTTCTCTTCCTTTGAGGTTTGTCCTATTCATATCTACCACCCAATCAAAATCCTGGTAGCTGTTGTCTATAGACTACCCCACCCCCACCTCCCAGGTCACTCTCCTTCTTTGTTTAATGAGTTTGTTAGCCGACTCACAATTTTTCTCTTCTCCCCAATTCCCTCATACTAGGGAACTTCCAACGTACATATTGATTCTCCTTCAAACACCCTAACCATTTAATTGCTCTGAGAACCTCCACCTTCTCATCAGCTATTCCTCTAACCTACCTCAGCCAAATACACACAAAAAATGGCCATACCTTTGATCTTGTCATCACCCACAAATGTACCATCTCTATATTCAAGAATCCTCAAATCCCTTTATCCAACCATAATCTATTGGCTTTTCACCTCTCCCTCCGCCTTCTCTTACAAAATCTACTATTCATTTGTACCATGATCTCCAATCTCTTGGATCCTCGAT